TCAACTGTATGGTGACAGATGTTAACTTGATTTTTGGTGGTAGATCACTTAGTAGTGTACACAAATGTCAAATTATAATGTTGTACACCTGAACCTTATATAATGTTATATACCAATTTTACCTAAATGAAAAAAAAGAAAGAACTATCTGCACTATTCAACTCTAGATTTTACTTATAAGATATCCAGCTGAATATCTGATCAACTTGTAAAGAGAATAACTGAATAAATTATTTTATTTTCAAGTTGTCAATTATGATGTATAGTAACAAGATGAACACAGTTCCTATATTGGGAGATCCTTCAGAGGTTACTCTAGTCTATGTGCTATTATCGTACAGTCTAAAATACATCAATTTTATCACGAGAAGGCTTCCAACTAATGGTGGTATCATTCTGACCATGCCTTCTGGAGTCTGAGGACCCTCACCATCTGTTCCCACTCTCTGACTCTGTTTTAGAGCTAGCGTGTGCTTTTCTCCTCAATCACACAATAAAATAAGTAGAGTTTTTGGACTTTACTGGGAAGCAGCCTACTGCTCAATAAATACATTAACTGAGACATAATATGATAGTCTAATTTTTCTTCCAATTTTCCTTTTTTTTTGGTCCACAATCTGAAACAATGATTGCACATGATGGTCTAGGGAGCCTTAGTGTTTTCATAAAAACAAGAAATCTAGCAGTTCAGCAACATAACATGTGCTTACAATCTTCCTGCAGTATTTTTACTGCCAGTATTCTGCCGCCAGCATCTATAATGATTACAGACTTAACAAGTTCATTAAATTACATTGGAAAAAAGTCTTTCCGGGTAAGACAAATTAGTTGTTTTTTGTTGTCATTTCAAACAAGGTCTTCTTCATTCTCTTTTTGATATCTACCAGATGCTATCTTTTTATAATGAAAGTCTATAATACAGATTGATAAATTATTGACCTTAGCAATTTTTCCTCAGGGAATATTTTAGCCTCCCTCCTAACATTTAGAGAATGAATACGGCCAACCAAGAAAATTTGGGACCTTACTACTAGTGAGCTATTTAATTCTCCTTCACATTCATTGATAATTTATTTTAAATATGAAAAGAAGAAAGACCAAGAAAAAAGCTTTACATAATTTATACACAGCTTTTCATGGTAAATATGTTTACAGTGATGAGAAAGAAAGCACAAAGTAAAATGCAGCTTTAATTAGTTTCACTTACAGGATTATTTTCGTATTTAAACATATGCGCTTTTGAGAGTGCTAAAGATACAGATAAGAGGCTGACCACACATCCTGTTTCTCCAGACAGTCTTGTTAATACATGGCCTCTCCGAGTCCTGTCTGGTTGGTATCCCCTATTACTCTCCTAAGTGTTTTGGTTTGAAGGACAAATTTATGATCAAACTAGAGATCAGCCATGTTAAAATTGTGTGAAAAAAATGGTGTGGACAGCTGAAAAACTTCAAAATAAAGATCAACTTTTCAAAAAGTTCTCAGAAAAATTATTTTTTAATATTTTTTGTGTTGAGTACTTTAATGTGTTAGAAAGACATGTTCCAAATATTCAGTATCGAATATGAAGAAATCCTAACAGGATCATTTAATTGATTGAAAAGTCCTTGATTTAAAGCCATTACTAACCTTCATATATAGACTTCCTTTTTTTTTTTTTTTGAGGAAGATTAGCCCTGAGCTAACTACTGCCAATCCTCCTCTTTTTACTGAGGAAGACTGGCGCTGAGCTAACATCCATGTCAATCTTCCTCTACTTTATACGTGGGACACCTACCACAGCATGGCTTTTGCCAAGCGGTGCCATGTCCACACCCGGGATCCGAACTGGTGAACCCCAGGCCGCAGAGAAGCGGAACCTGAGAATTTAACCTCTGCGCCACCGGCCCGGCCGCAGGACTTCCAAAGCTATTTAAGATAAATAATTTTTACAGATTTTCATTAAAAATGAGACACTTAAAAGGTCGTTTAAAAGACATTTTCAAAGATTTTTAAAATCCGTCTCTAGCAAAGTCAACAGTTGCATCAGAGTCTCAGCAAAAGAAATGGCATTTCACTATCTTAAATGAGGTAACCTTTTGTGTGTGCGTGCTGCAGACCACTCCAGACCACTTTGGAAGATTATGAACCTTTTCTAAGAAAAATATTTTTTAAATGTGTAAAATAAACTACAAAGTATTACAATGGAAACCAATTATATTGGACTACAATTGTCAAAATATCAAAATATATTTAAAAAGCAAACGTGATAAAGTAATATGTGAGCTTCTTCATTAACTCATGAATTAAATTGTCGAACAGCAGTCTAATCACCATCATGATTACCAAGCAGTGATGAATAGATATGATACTTTGAGGTTATCTAAAATAACTCTAATGTGGTCTGAGGAGTCACAGCTACTGCTCACGCTACTGTGGTTTGTTGACTACATTCACAAGTGGAGAAAATGTTCATTAAGAGGTTAGTGAAAAGAAAGTTGCAATTCTTTTCCCAACCAAGTTCATGACCTCTTTGAATTCTATTGTTTTAGGTACAACATTAAGAAAACCTAGTGGTCCAAACAGTTTATCACAGGTGCACAATTAACTCATCAAACTGCTACTGACCCTTGCAATGAAGTACACAAAACAACATGTGTGAAAACAAAAAGCCCACTGAAAGCTTTTTAAGAAAAAAAGTGAAGGCTCTCGCTGAAAACACAGTTCAGTTCCCTGTGTGTGTGAGCTGTCAATGAAGTGCAGCACATGGTGAATGTGTTGAACGGCAACACAGTGGGGCTTTTCTAGAACTTTGAAAAACCAAACAATGAAAACTCCTAAAACACAGACATGGCATTTTATGTGAAGCAGTATGTCCCTTATCCCTATCACTAATATCTTATAATCAGTTATATTGTCACACACATTTTTCTTCAGGTTTGCATTTTCTTATTTTACTTTAACAGTGTATTCATTGACTATTTATACTTTTCTTTCTCCGAACTTCAAATGAAATCCAATAATGGACACCAAAGACTACAAATGGTTGGAATTAAACACAGATATTGCCTAAGAGATAAGACAGAATTACAGATCATTGGAACTTAAAGGGACCATAAAAGCCACTTTGTCTAACCTCTCACTTCAGAAAAGAGGAACTAGAGACAACTAGAAGTTGAGGTTAGGGACTTGCTCAGGCCCCAAGACAACCAGAGAAAAGCTCAGTCTGATAGTTAATGCACCGCCCCTCCACCTCTCGACAAGGGCAAGTCCTGTTCCTGGGCCCACTTCTATCAAAGCATAGCTATTGAAACAAGCGGTTACGATCAATTAGCAATACATCTTATTTATAGATTTTTGCTTCCAAACATGGCAGTAAGAAGACTTAACTGGTGAGCAAATCTCTAGAACAGAGGCCTTGAAAGAATAGTAAAAGATCAAGAATTTGTTTTGAATAGTTTATAAGGTCTAATTTATTAGCAATATTATTCTGACTACTAAAAACCCAGTCAAACCATCGCTAACTTTATTTTTTTAGATGGCCTTTTTTTCTGATTATAATAGGAATACACATCCATTATATTAAATTTTGAAAATACAAGGACGAATGAAGAAGAAAATAACAAGCAGCCTACGCCAACAGTCAAGACAATATTGGTAATATTGGTAATATTTCAGCATATTTCTTTCCAGAAATATATGTACATATGAATATATAGTTATTTACATATAATCTTACATATTAAGATAATATTGTATATAAAATTTTATACCCTGCCTTCTCTCTAAGCATTATACCATGAGCATCTTCCCACTGAATCAAAATTGCTTCCAAAACATCATTAATGTGAAAGTCTATGTTGCGTGCTTATTAAGTAATGAAATTTAAAGATAATATAATCAGTAAAATTATCTCATATAATTTTTGATCACTGGATTATGTAGGCTATGACTGATCAGGTAACTCTAATGCATTACATTGCTCTAAATCAAAATTATTAAAAAATGTGTTCTCTAAAGACAAGGTAGTGTTTAGAAAAATTTGAATGCAAATGGCTAAAATCTTTACGGAAAAATGTATAATATCCCAAGAAATTACAGAAACAAAAATCCAAAGAGATACCAGCTGCTACTATTAAATGCAGTAAGATTCCAAAAGCTATTACAACAGTCAATCATGATCGGGCTCTGTAAAGTCCTGAGGGAACACAGTACTTGTGCAAGGGAGCAGCAATTAGTGTAAATATTTAGTGCCTGGTACACTGGAGGACTTTAATAAATGTTGATTGAATGAATAAATAAAAATCAATTTACAAACAGGTATAGACATCTGAATATGATTATACTCTTTCACTGACAATCTTACTTAAAGAAATATATACAACATATACACTCAGGTACACACTGCACTTTTATTAAGGGGGAAAAATTGGTCACAATTAAATGTCCAAAGCTGGTAATGGTTAAGTAAATGAGGTAGGTAGAAAGAGCCATGGAGACAATTTTCAGATTAATTTAACAACTATACTAAAATTATAAGTGTCTTGCCTATAATTCTTAGTTTAAAAATGATTATTTAAAATATTGGTATATTTAATCTCTTGGTATAAGATTTTATTTCATTCTTTAAATAAAATAATCGCTAATTTTAAAATCAAAGAAAATCACTGCATTTAAAAAAAATGTTGAGAAGCCCAGATGAATAACTTATTATTTTTCTTCCAAAATATATTCTTATAGTCAATATCAAAAGTGTTGTGCATCTCTTTGTTCTTGAATACCACAGAAGATAGGGTCAAGGTTTCCTGGAAAGTCACATGAATGGTGAGAGAAAACAATCTTGACATTCTATCTTCCTAGTACCATGAGTCACATAACTCTGATATTTCCTCTTATTAATCTTAGCCTAAGTATTAGAGAATTTGTTAAAACTAACACACACACACGCACACGCACACACATACACACACACACATGACTTAGAGTGGTGACCCTTTAAAAAACAATGTAAGTCACAATACCTGTAAAAGCTCTGATGGTTCACTTCCTTCTTCCACCACAATTAGTTGAGATCTTCCTTTCCTTTCATTGTCCCGAATGCCAATGGCAACCTGGCTTGCCTTCAGACGCTCATATTTATTGCACGAGGAACCACACCATTGGTAAATTTCCTAAAAGAGAGGGACAGATCTTTTGACCTCAGAAATATGTGGAAGACATTCAGCACTGTTGTAATACCCATTGTGATTAATTAGGAAAAAACAAAAAGGTATAAAAATAAAGTTATTTGTTATTGAGGTATATATGATTTTACATATTTTATTTATACCTCATTCTGTATCCTGTTGCTTTCAGTTAGCATTATAAAGTAAGCATTTTTTTAAACTATATAAATACATATCTCACCACTCTTTGTGTATATAATCCACTAAGCAGAATTTATGAAAGTAAACTTGTATAGATTACTTAAATTTAAAATAATAAATTTACCATATTTCAGAAAGGTGGTTAAGAATCTGTTCTGCTCTTGATGATCATAAAAATTGATACAACACTTCTGTAAAGCAATTCAACAATTCTTATGAAGAGGCATAAAAAGAGATAAAACCACTGACCCAGTAATATCACTATCCAGAATTTATTTTAATAAATTATTTATAAAGAGAAGAAAGAACATATACAAGTGTTTTCATTGCTATGATTATATTGGTGAGGCACTGACAGACATTAAATGTTCAACAACAGAATAACAGTTATGTAAATTATGATACATTGAAAAATAGATACTTAAATATCAAAGTTATACTTTAACAGAAATTTAGAAAAATAGAAACAGAACAACAGTTTGATATTTTGTAAATTAGGCAGACTACATTAGCTGCCATTTAGATTAAAACATTTTATATTTTAGACTTGGGTACAGTGTTCAGAAGGTATAGAGATACAAATGTAAATAACACTGAAATATCATTTTCTCCATTAAATGTAGTTTAACAAAAGAAAGAAACACAAGTTTAATGGTACCCAGGCCTGGTGGGGGTATGGGAATGGGCATTATCGCACACTATTTGGGTGGTTAAACTGACATAGGTTTTTTTTGAGAGTAGTTTGGCATCATATCAGAAAATTACATACGCTTTCAGAATCAGAAAATTCCATTTCTAGAAATCTATTCAATAGAAGTATTCAAACATGAGATACAAAAACAAAAAAACAAACAAAACAAAAACAAATGTTCATCAATAGGGAGCTGGTTATATAAACGCCATTACACGGACACTGCAGACTACTCTTCAGCAGTTAACAACTGAGGAAAATGTTTGAATACTGATGTAGAAAATTACCCAAGGTGTATCATGAAGAAGAAAATGAAGCCCACAGAATAATACAGTTCCATTTAAGGAGAAACAGAACCAGAAGCTCTGTTTCCGCGTTTGCAGAGAAAGATTGTTAAAGGTAGACAGTTTTAACACATTGGCAGGGGCACGCACACACAGAAAGAAAGCCTTCAACTTTTACTGTATCTAAGTCAGTGTTTTCCCTTTTTTTAAAAATGTCATTCACATTTATTAGGTGCCTATTATGAGCCAGATGTTGGGGATAGAGAGATAAAAGAGAGAAAACTAGCAAGGAAAGACTGACATGTAGACAACGAACACTAATAATATCTTTGCATTACACTTGGTTTTCAAAATGTTTCCACACATACTTCACCGAGTCAATTGTGGAGAGATGGTCAGCATAGTGGTTAGGGGTAAAGGAGACAGACCTCAGTGGCCACTAACTGCCTATGTGACCTTTTATTTGCAATTTTTAAAAGAGCAAATAAATTAATAACCGCAAAATAAAAGAGCACCCAAGCGAGACCGGCTCTTTTCTCTGATTAGAAGACATTTCCAGTCCAGAGTTGTTTCAAAAATGGTTTACTGATTGCCTAAAATGGCGCACGCTCTCTTCCAGGTCCTAGGAGCACAACTTTGAACCACGTAGGCTTGCGACAGTCTCTCTGACCCCTCACCCCACCGTGTTCCTGATTGACCTATTCCATATTCCTTTTTAAGAATAAAACATACATTTCAGAAATTCAAGTCTTTATAAGAAGTAAAATAAAAAGGACCATGCCTTGCAATCTCTTTCACTCTAGAATCTGACTTAGTAATTCAATATGGTCAAGGGATGTTTCTATTCTGTTTCTAAGGGAATCACACACTGTCATTGTCCCTCTCTACCTCTTTTCTACACCTGGGTATCTGAATATGAGGCTCACATTTGGAGGCAATTTAAATACCGTGTCCCGGTTAGCACTTACAAACAGTGAAAACAGATGGTTCCACTAATCAGTCAACGCCTATCACTGAGCATTAAAGTCAGGTGATGGAGTAGGAAGGCGATTTTAAAAAATACAGATGCCTGAGCCCTCCCCTTAGGGACTCTCAGGGGTATTCTGGGCAGCGTGTTTATTGAATGCTCCCCAGAGGATTCTAGCATTCAACTAGGGCTGAGAACCCTGGCTAGTCACCCTGAGCATGCTGCACCTGGCACTCATTACAGGGAATCTGTAACATTTAATCACCCAAAGAAGCCAAGCAGGCTGCTCTGCTGAGTACACCTGGGCTCTTAGCTCAGCTTCCTTTCCTACCGTATTCCATGGTATTTTGCAAATGATTCTTTTTTCAGTGGATCTGAGAAAGCAAACTTCTAATATTTACATTACAGTGAAATAGAGGAAGTATCTCAGAAGTTAGCTGTCTAGATTTCTCAGACTTAGCAACTTTCACCACTGACTTGCTCTGTATTTTTATAATCATCTAACAGATGTATATGTTCTCCCTATCTGAGTTGTATAAATGACCTCTCATCTACTTCAAACAGATTATATAAAATCACACTAAATTTTAGCAGCATCTGTAAATCATTATGGAAGGTTCATAAAATGTGTTTAAAAATGAATTGTAAATAATGATAATTTAATGAACATAATTGTTATTTAACATAGAATTTTACAATATTCTATAGATCCCAAAATATTTTCTATGATATTACTTTGGGTTGGGAGATTTTACGTGCAGTAGCAATTCACAGATAAATTTAGTTGTACCATTGCTTACAGACCACAGTATACCTTTAAAATAGCAAAACCATATCTAGGAAATACTCATCAAAATAATAAAATTTTTAAGAGCAAAGTTTTCCTTTTAACTGGAAGATGACTGAGTCCCTACAGCGTTACACAAAATTTCTTATAGAGCTCGAAAAAGAACGCTTTGTATTCTGCTTATTCTTTTTTCATTTTCACCTTATTTTGTGCTACTATTTCTACAAAAGTGACACATTATCTTATTTACTAAACTTAATTTTCAATTGTTAATTCAGGCAAGAAATGCAATAAAATATGGACTTTAATTTTAAATTGCTAAAAGCCAGAATTATTTAAAAAGTTGTATTAAAAAATCTTTTTCATTCAATGCTAATTAATTTTTTATGCAAATATAGTTCATTCAGTTCTGGCAGAGCACAACAAAACATGCTTTAAAATTTTAAACAGAATTTTAGCAATTCATTAAATTTGAGCAATTTCTATTCCACCACATGTGGACGATGTGTTTAGGACATCTCACTTTAACAGAGCTCTACTGTGCTGAAATAAATGTGTATAGTACTATAAATAAACTTTACTGCCCAACACTTACTCTTTTCAGAAGTAGTTGGTTAAAACCTCAACACTCTGTGCACAAGGAAACTTTGTACTCATTTGGCCCCATGCTTCAAAAACTCTCCTGTAATTCAACTTACCCGTTTTTCAGAAGGAGTGGGCTGAAAAAAAGAAACTCTGCATAGAGCTAAAAAAAGTCTGAATGGATGTGATAGCTTGATATGTATTATTACAACGAAAAGTTTTCATTATAATTTAAATTGTTTTATTTATAATACTTTAGTGGGCTTTAGATGAAAACCCTTTCGTAAATCTGATTTAAGTGTACTAGATGCCGAAAATTGTAAAGCAAACACAGTTTCAGAGGCAACTATTTTACCCTCTAAGATCCTAAGGAATTTAACAACTCAACACTAAATATTATATTTCTTTGGGAAAAGAGCATAAAAACTCCATGTAAGTATGGAAGTATCCATTCAATTCAGAATGAAGTCCACTTAAATTTTGGTGGAAATTTTTTGATGAACTATAACCCATGAACACCCTCTAGCAGAAGTTTATGAAACTATAATTAACCGTTAATATGCAAACTATTAAAGGAAAACAAAATTACTCTGGAAAATTGGAAGAGGAAGAAATGAGGGAGTAAAGACAATCTGTTACTGGCAGTTAGTTTGGTCCCCTAGTAATAGGAAATAAAAGCAAGTGAGTGATACTTATAGAAACGACACTGGGAGCAAACAGAGGTTTCTAAAATTTCCTTTAAACTATGTGGTCAGGTTAACAAGTAAAACATCAAAGTGCAGCCAAACCTCATTTGGGGACAGGAAATAAGCGCAGCAATAAAACAATGCTCCTGATGCCCTTGATGGGAAGCTGGATTAAAGGAGCACCCCAACAGCCCATGTGATGTTCACGCATAACGTGCAAAGAATTCAGCATGGATTTGCTCCTCTTTTGTCCTTTTCTCAGTTATTTATTCTAAACACATCTAAAATTTTATAAAAGGAGAAGTAGGGGCCAGACCTTTTCCTCTCCCTTGCTTCTACTTGCTTTATTTTCACTGGGTTTAATGTTCTCTTAGATCTCGTTAATCAAATATAGAAGTTCATTCCCATCTCCCTCTAGGCTGGAGGTTCTCCAAGCATAGCTTAAAAATAATAATGACTTGTGAGATACCTCTGGGAATCTATCTTTATCTTACAACTTTAAAACATGACTTTTTTTAGTTTTGGGACAGGCAAATGTTGATTTATATCCTATTTTGTTGTTCAAAGCCAAGCCAACACAATACCCTTCAATGACATATATATACGTGCTTTAAAAAACATCTCTGCCTGAAGGATGGAAGATGAATGCAGGAACACTTGAAGGCTTGATGACCAGAAAGGAAAAAATTGCATGTGAACCAGGAAAGAGCAGTGGTGATGGAGAGGAGGAGAAGAATCAAGGGATATTTCAAAGGTTAAAGCCTGCAAGGCTGGAGAACAATCCTCTGACTTGTTGGTTCTTCAGGCG